GCTAAATATTTAATTTGTGACTTAAATATTTAGTTTTGAGCTAAATGCTTGGCTTGCAACTTAAATATTTAGCTAGCTACCTAAATATTTAACTTAAATATTTAGCTAGTAACTTAAATATTTAGCTAGCTACCTAAATATTTAACTTACAAATTAAATATTTATTTAACAAACTAATTACTTAGCGTGACTTAAATATTTAGTTTTGAGCTAAACATTTAGCTTGCAACCTATTTAGCTAGCCATCTAAATATTTAGGTTGCAGCTTAAATATTTAGCTAGTAAGTTAAATATTTAGGTAGCCACCTAAATATTAACTTAAATGTGGCTAGCTACCTAAATATTTAGGTTGCAACTTAAAAATTTAACTACCAGTTAAACAGTTAGGTAGCTAGCTAAATATTTAAGTTAAATATTTAGGTAGCTAGCTAAATATTTAAGTTGCAAGCTAAACATTTAGCTCAAAACTAAATATTTAAATCACAAGTTAAATATTTATTCTTTTAACTGAATATTTAATTTGTAAGTTAAATATTTAGTTTATAAACTATGATATTTATAAATGTATGAATCGTATGGTGAAAAACTGACTTTGAAAAATAAATCTGTTCTTTTTTTCTTACAAAAGGCTAAATAAGACAAAAATATTGGTGGTAATTTTTGACTGTGTAACTTTACAAACGGCACACCATACAGCCGTGTTTCTTTTACTTCTCAGAAAAGGAAGACGATGACCTAACGAGGAAATAATTGGTTTTGCTGTGATGACTATTTTTTGTTTTTTTAAAGCAGCAGATTTTCTGAATTTGGACATCAGTATTCAGCTCCTCCTCTTTCTTTCATCCAATAAAACTCTGTTACCAGAAATCCACACACACACACACACATAGTTCTGGTTACATCCTGTCAGTGTGCCAATGGGCTCTGATCAGAGATTTACTGCAGGTCATTCAGGATTGATTCCTGCACATGAACAGGAGTGGTTTATTTCTTTCACACTGTGCCCCTCGTTCCCCTTCTCTCTTTACAAACTCATAATGAGACTGTTAATGCTGCAGAAAGCAGAACATGCAGGTGGACAACATGTACAGCTGAAACCAGATGTTTGCACACACTATAAAATGACAAATATGTTTTGCTCGCTGTCAAAAAACTATATGGAYACCCTTTCGTCAACTAATTAACTTGACAGGTGCCCCGCCCCTTTTGACAGCTGATGAACGGAAGTCCCACCCCTTTTTGACACCTGGACTGGAAGTCCCGCCCCTTTTTGACATCTGATGACCAGAAGTCCTGGCCCTTTTTACATATATAGGCATAGATCCCGCCCCCTTTTGGACATGAGATAACCGGAAGTCCCGCCCCTTTGATCATACATGGGCATAATCCCCACCATTTGAAGGCGGGGTTACCGCCCCCTAAGAGAGTGACAGCTGAAGGGTGGGGTGGGGTTCCCCCCAGCGACAGGATGTCTGGACAGGAAATTACATTAACATGTGGCGACATGTCCAGACATCTGTTTGCGACATGTTAATGGCTGTGTCCAAAACGGCAGGACGGGTCCTCCGAAGGTCGAATTTGTCGGCCGCATACGTCACAGCGCCGCAACGAAGGACGTCCAAAACGGAAGACTCCTCCGATGCGTCCGACAAATACGTCCTTCTTTTTCCCCGAATCGAAGGACAGGTCCGATGGATCCTTCCCGGCCCAGCATATTCCATAATGCATTGCGGCCCGACCGGAGATTTTTTTAAGCTAGTAATGGCGGACGAAGCGAGAGAAAAGAATGCATTTTAAATAAAAATATGGTGATATAAAAATTTAAAAAATTAGCGGTTGTAATTCTAATACTTTTATCATTTGTATGGACATGTTTTTAAATAATTTTTTCGTCATAAAAAAAACGCGAAATAAACATGAACCTMCAGCGGGTCAATTAGTTCTTCAAATGATACCTTTAAGTTAATTTCATAGTTTTGTGATATTAATAATGCTAATGTATTGATATTTTTCTAGTTTTGATTTAAGTTTGCTTGTTTAGCGTCGTCACAGTTGCTAGGTGACATGACGTACGCCGGGGTAAGGAGGGGAGGCTAGACCGTCCAAATCCACAGCCTCTTTTTTTCCGGTCTTCCCGGTCTACCAAGGACCCGGCCTGCCGAGACCGGGGAGTCTGGGTCCTCCGGAGGACCCGGCCTGTCGTTTTGGACACAGCCAATGTAATTTCCTTTCCAGACATCCTGTCGCTGGGGGAAACCCCACCCCAACCCTCAGCCGTCACTCTCTTAGGGGGCGGTAACCCTGCCCTCAAAGGGTGGGGATTATGCCCATATATGGTCAAAGAGGTGGGACTTCCAGTTAGCATGTGTCCAAAAGGGGGCGGGATCTAAGCCCATATATGGTAAAAGGGCGGGACTTCCGGTCATCAGGTGTCACAAAGGGGCGGGACTTCTGGTTCAGATGCCAAAAAAGGGGTGGGACTTCCCATCATCAGCTGTCAAAAGGGGGCGGGGCACCTGTCAAGTTAATTAGTTGACGAAAGGGTGTCAATATAGTTTTTGCTGTCTGACATTAAATTTAAATTAGTCTCCATGTTTCCTGTTTCAGGTCGTTTGGGTTTCCCAGTTATCTTTATTAACTAACTGCCCAGATAACAAGAAACTTTTTTTTTCAACGGTTACCATCCCATTCAAAAAAATGAAAGTCCAAATGATGATGTCATGACTTTGGATAAATATGAAAGGTTAGCTGATAATTGAGTTAATTGGTGTCACATTGAACTTCCAGATGCCTTCAGGTGCTACTTTGGTTTGTTCAATTATATACAAGTAAAAACACCGTGGAAATGTCCCGTCTTCGTACTGCTGCAGGAGGAGGCACATCCTGTATGTCCAAAGTGTTTTTATGTGAAATATGCATTGCAACTGCAAAACAAAAGCAAAACATCTCATGAGGAAACTGTTGAAGCTGGTAAGAGAGAGTTATCCACAATGTGACATCTTGTACTAACATGTACTAAAAGGTTAGTCAGCGAAGACTTTATTTCGAAACAAAAAAGTCAGATAGTTTGTAAAAGCACACAGGGACAATGACGTGTCCTGTGGTCTGATGAAACTAAAACTGAACCTTTTCTTAATTATTTGAAAGAAAAACGAGGAAGCTCGCAAGCTAAAGAAGGCCATCTCAACAGCGAAGTATGGGGGTGGTAGCATCATGATGTGGGGGTGTTTTGCTGCAGCAGGGTCTAGTGCACCTCTCAAATTAGATGGCATCACAAGGAAAGAATATTATGTGCAAATGTTGAAACGACATCTCCAGACATCAGCCAGAGAGTTGAAGCTTGGACACAAAAGAGGTTTTTGAAAATGGGCGATAAACCCTCAGCATTTTGGAACATTAGTTACAAAGTGGCTTAAGGAAAACAAAGTCAGGGTTTTGTAAGTTACCTTACAGGTAACTCTGATGCCAATCCTATAGGAAATTTGTGGGCAGAACTAAAAAAAAAAAGGCTTGTGTGAGCAAGTTGGCTTACAAACCCGACTCAGTTACATCTTTTCTGTCAGGAGGAATGAGATAAAATTCCACTAAACTACTGAGAAGATTGAAGAATACCCAAAACATTTGTCCCAAACTGTAGAGCTTAAAGGCAATGCTAATGATTAAAAGTATGGAGTTTCAAATCTCCTTTTTCCAGTTTCAATTTTTTTTATTTTGAACTAAAGTTATGACCCCAATTTAGCTCCATATTAAAGCAGACAAATGCTTTAAAATCCTTCTTTTCCACATTCAAATCATTCAGTTGGGGTCTATATAAAGTGGAACTGCAATGCTTTGGTCTGAATTCCTCCTTATTGTAACTCCACAAGCCCCTCTTTCTCCCCTTTTCTGAGGTGTGTCTCAGGTTAACTCATTTTGAGGCTGTCTCTTTAAATCCAAGTGAKGCGTTTCACATCCAGCTTCCACACCAGTTCGTTTTAGTTTGATAGAGGAGTTTACGACTATATAGCAGCGCAGAAATATTTTATTTACAAATTATTTAAGATGTCAACAACAGAAGACTCGTCCATCCAGCCTTACGTGATGCTAGAGGAGAATGAAGACGACCAAATTGTAGTTGGTAAATCCAGAACTTATTTGGCAGTTCCGTTGCAAATACTAACGTTATAGTTCAGAAAACGTAATAAAAAATAAGAGAAAACTGAACGGGTTGAAAAATATGACCCAAACAGAATATAAAGAAATCTACACAGCACTGGGAGAGAATAAATTCAAATTTTATGAATTTTACTAGAAACTCAAGTACACAACAAAATGTAGTTAATGGCTAAAAAATGTGGATTTTGAATAAGTCCCCTTAAAGAAAGAGGAAAGGTTAAAGTCTGACTTGTTGTCAATGAGAAAAAAAGGTATTTTTTTAATAACATGTATGTAAACATCTGTTTTCAACTGTACACTCAAACGGACGAGAAACCTTAGAAGTATCCAATTAACAAAACCACTAATTTAGAGCATTTGTTGACATACAAACACTGAAAATGATTTGTCGCCTCTTCACTGAAGATGAATTAAAGTGGAAGAAAAGACTTTCATTTGTCTTCTTTATGGAAATTCGGGTATTCCACAAACACCCTTTTCTGGCCGAAGGGGATTACTTTCTGTTTACGGAGAAGTACTTAAGTCRCCATTAGTGTCTTGAAGATTTAGTAAAATACTGATTTAGATCCTCTTTGGGACGCACAGCATCAGTTGGGATGTGATTTAGTGGTGAAGAAGCAAACAGACCTTGAACATCTGAAACCTGGGCTTGTCCCGTGTCAGGTCAAGAAGTATTTGTAAGACAAACAGGAGGCGGTTGTCTACGATCCCAAARATACAAAAATCAGACAAGTGAACAAAAAAAGTGTTTATTCCAGAACGTTTGAGCTTGATAATAAATACAAGCACTTGCCCGACACCTTAATGCAGTGCATGAAGCGCACGGAGAACCGAAACAAACTTCAATGTGGTTAAAACATCTCAAACCTCCAGGATCTCTGAATCTTGGTTGGTCCCTTTACACTGTAAACTCTTCGCAGTGGAAATGATTGTGTGTGTGTGTGTGTGTGTGTGTGTGTGTGTGTGTGTGTGGGGAAGGCTTTGGTAGGTTATCCCTCAAACAGTCCTGAAGCTGATTTAAGCTGAATTATTTAGTGTTTCACAGTTGACTGGCTTTACGTGTGATTTGATGACAAACATGCTGAACTTGGTTTCTAAAGGTCTACTGCTGATCTGTAGCAGAAGCTGTCGGCACTGAGCAGAGCAGGAAAAATAAACTCTTTTTTTTCCTTAGATGCTTACATCATAAACATCCTTGCAGTTAATAATCATCTGTGGTGAGCAGATAACATCAGTGATTGCAGAGCTGAGAGTGAGGAATGTGAGTTGGCATGAACAGATAGATCTCAGGCTTGTTTCTCCGTGAACACGTTTCATCTTCAGTGTGCGTTTGTGTTTGCCTTCTTCTCGTTAAGTCTTTGTTGCATGTGCCTCGGTCTTTGCAGCCTGCTGACCTTTCATGGTCAGCGTGCGCAGTGGGGGAGGAGGGGAGTTGTGGTGTGGTCGGGGCGGTGGTGGTCCGACCACATGCTGCGTCGGTGCTAGTTCAGTGACGGAGAGCGATTGGTGGTCCATAGCAGCTCGATGTAGGGCCACTTGGTCTGTAGGCAGCGCTTCACTGGAGTGTCGTCGGTTCGAACCATGGGGTCCTCAAAACCTAGCACCAGAGCTGTCCCCTCCACATACTCAACCTGAGCACACAAGTGCACACACACACACAGTAAACACAAACGTTACATGCTTGAACTCTTTGCAGTCACTTCCTCTGCAGAGGTCAGAGGTAAAAGGTGGACGGATGAACACGACTGCACACATCCAGCAGCTGTATGACGGCTGTCAGAGCGTCTGTTATTTCCATCTGAAGCCATGGGAATGGAATTGCCATCACAACCTTATAGGTGCCGTGCTGATATATACGTGTGTGTGTGTGTGTGTGTGTGTGTGTGTGTGTAGGTGTGTGCGTTTGTGTGGGCACACATCCTGTGCCCTTCCTGCAACTTCAGCTACAGGGTTCCTACAGTTTAAGGAAAGTTAAATTTAAGACCTTTTAAGAATTTTTAATGCCAAGTGAAATTAAATTTAAGACTAATTTCATAATGAACACAAATAACAAAAAAATAAACAAAGAAATCAAAAAATAAAAAATAAAAACTGTGGCAGAAACTCATAAACCTACGGAGCSYGCGAGGGGACATGGGAGATTTTTGTCTTTTGCGTTCCCAAGCAATAGTATTGCGTTACCTCGCAAAAGTCGTTTATCACTGTTGTGCCTGCCTGTTTAATCACAAACTCACATATTCACCATTAGTGAGTTAGCCTACTGTTTTAATTCAGCTTCAGAATGAATACATCACACAGCCATGCATGAAAGTCTGTCATATGCTGATATTTTAACACAGTGCAGCCACACAACATCAATGTCAATTTCACAAACTGTGGCGACGCATCCTGTTTTGGTAACCGGAAATTTCAAAAATAAAAGTCTGATTTAATTCAGCTCATATTCAAAACAATCTTTTGCATAGGAACACAAAACAATATTGCGAGGTAATGCAAAAGTACTGCGAGATAACGCAAAAGTATTGTGTGGGAACGCAACAGAAAAAAAATCCCCACATGTCCCCTTGCGGGCTCCATATAAACCAAAGTATTTTTGGTTGAAGTATTAAAATAATGCTAATAGACCAATTGTTTTTATCCATATCTAACTATAGCAGAAACATTCTTAGCAGTCAGTTTTAAACTTCATTTAATTTCTGGAAATCCTCMAACAACCTAACATTTGAAGTTTTAGGACCCACAATGGGGTCTTAACCCTTATTTGCTGTAGATGAAACCTTAAAGTGCCCGTGACATCAGTTTTTTGTAAGAAATATAAATGCATTTTTGGAAAGACAACATTATTAACATATTATGAAATGAATTTCACATTGCTCAGATGGACAGTTGTTGAGATATATGCATGTGAAGCAACAGGAAGTGATGTCAAAGGGGAATGTCTGCATGTGAATATTAAATTTTTTTTTTACCAATTATTTTACTATTTGAAACGAATTACAATCATCCTATGTACAATGTTTAACATTTTTAAGACTTCTGACAGATTGATTTAAGACATTTTAAGGCTAATTAAGACTTTAGTTTTGGATTGATGAATTCAATGCCTTTCAAGACTTTTTAAGTATTTGCAGGAACCCCGAGATAGCAGCATGACAAAAAAAATAATAAATAAAAAAACAGATTTAAAGACATGACAGAGTTGATGGATGAGGATAGTGAGATTCCTGAGTACCAGGCTTGTGCAAAGCTACTGACATCTACTGACAATCATCCATCAAGTGAGGTCTGCTAATAGGTTTGTGTTTTGGCTGTTTCTCCACAGCGAGCCTGCTGACAGTGGCCTTCGTGCTGAAATGACTCGGAGGAACAGGTTTTACACGGGTCTGTGCTTGGATAGACAGGCTATTAGGCTCACAACAGCTACTGTTTATTCTGGAGTGGATGGCTGCCTTCAGCTCTGTGTATGTGAGTGTGAGGGTGTATGAATGATGACAGGAAATAAAGAGAGGGAATGGGGAGAGAGGCCGGGAATAATAAAAAAACCCACCATCATTAGTTACAATGGAAAAAACTCCTCTGAAAAAGAGTGTCTTACCCTCTCTTTGTGGTTGGACTGTTTAAGACCATTGTAGTGGTAGACGGGAAATGAGTCTGGGATTCCTGAATCCTGCAACGCAGACGCAGAGAGGAGTGAAAACACGCCGTGTTGTCAAACAGGCTCTGAGCTGTCATTGACTGGCAGAGGTGGAATATTTGCAAACCAAGAAGTCAAACAGTCACAATTTCTTACCCGCAACCAGAGTTTCATGATAAATCCCATGTGTTAAACCCAAATGCGTGTGTTTATTTGTGCGTCGCAAAGCCCAACTCCAATTACCGTGAAGCAGCCAGTGATACAAAAATGCTTGGACGACGACGGCGAGCCAAAACACTTCCCATGAAGTTGACTTGAAGGTGCAGGGGGCTAACAGGGTGTGTTTGTCTGAGAATGTGTCCAGCTTTTGGTGTTTATATGCCTATATATGAAACCTTAACCCTCACACTAATCCCACGTGTGTCTGAGTGTGTGTGTGTGGGTCCAGTTGGCTAATGGTAGTGTAATTTCTTTGTGGCTCAATACCATTCCTCTGSTGAGTCTCTAAAGCCCTGATCACTTTAGCAGTTTCCCTCTATCTCTTCAGTTCTGTGCTCCTTACACAATCAGCCTTGCAAATGCATTTATCGCTCCTGTTAAAACTTTTTAAAAAGTAGCGTCATATGATTGCAAACACACACATTTCATACAGGACACCAGAGAAATGATTTAGTCATAGAAACATTTAATTTGTTTGTCAAAGACATGTCAGCATCATTTATTTATGTGGGAGAATGCAAAAATTCTCAATAATGTGTTCCAWCCATATAGGTTGTGTGATGGGTGGAAATGCATTTGTGTACATGTCTTTGAAATGGTGTGTGGACATATTTTGACATTATACAGTAMTTTTGAGGACATGTTTTCATTGTGTGGACATTTKCCTCTGTCCACACAATGAAAAAGCACCATTTGTGGTTCAGGG